AAAAAAAAAAAAGAAAAAAAAAAAAGAGAGAGAGAGAATATGGCTCCATCCTCTAGGATAAAAAAGAAGTACTGCTCCCATATTTGAGAAAAATCATAACCATTTATCCTAAAAGCACCTGTCACAAGCCTATCCACAGTAACACCATAGTCTGCATGAGCTTAATGTGCTAAGAATTGTTTAACGAATCTTTTATTATTTAGGCTCCTTTCATATGCTTAAAATGGCATAAAATACAATGGCATAAAATATCTTGTATCATTCATGTCTGTGTATGAACTTTCCATTCTAATGAGTAAGATTTTTGGAGTCAAAAAAAAAAAAAAAAATAGTAACTCACTCAATTACCTAAAAACGGACAGTATAAAATCAGGCAGAAATGATTTCCCCTTATTGGCCTCCTTTTCTAGAATTTACCATGTACTCTGCAAATTACTATGTGACTTCCATGGGCAGCTGCTCTACTACTGGTCTACAGAGAGCTGATGGTGCATCCAGATGTGGCCCCTGAACAATCCCTGCTGCCCAGCAGCCCTGACACCACGGGCCCACACCCCGTTCTCCATCCACGTCTGGGGTGAGCCCTTCCCAGGACCATGCCCAGTGCAGCCTCTTCCCAAGCTCATGTCACTGGGTCATGGGAGCTGGAATCTAAGCGAGATGAGAGGGACTGAGGGAAGGCATGGGTGACTGCCAGCAAACCTGTCAGGCAGGACGCTTCAGACTCAGAGAAGATTCCCAACTCCAAGGCCCAGCATTTCTGAAAGGAAGGAGACAGAACAATCCACCGAGAATATCATCTCACCTGAGGAAGAGCCATCCCTGACTCCTTTGCTTTCCTCTTCTTCTTCCAGCGTTCTTCCTCACGTATCAGGAGTCTTTAGAAGTCAATCCTGAATGTCAAAAATATGTTGTTTGTTGCTCAGAATCAACACACACCCTCCCTGGAACACAACGACACATACAAAGGAGACCTCACCCTGAGGAAATATGGTTCCCTATGCTGCCCACTGCACCAGGGATGATAAACTCCTACAAGAAAACTAAGTGATTTTTGATCCCCTTCTTCAGAGCCCGCTTCCCTCCTGGAGAAGCCCACACACACACTGCATCAGTGGGGAGCTGGGATGGAATGAGTTCCCCTTCAGGGCACAGACCCAGCCCTCACCAAAGCCTAGGCAGAGGCTGGGTGCGGTGGCTCACAACTTTTAACGCTAACATTCTGGAAGGCCAAGACAGTGGATCGGTTGAGCAAGAAGTTGGAGACCAGCCTGGGCAACATGGTGAAACCCCATCTCTGTGAAAAATACAAACACTTAGCCAGGCATGGTGGTACACATCTCTGTCTGTGCTCCCAGCTCATTAGGAGGCTGAGGTGGGAGGATCATTGAGCCCAGGGGGTACAGGTTGCAATGAGTCAAGATTGCACCACTACAGTTCAGCCTGGGTGACA